CTGAAATATTTTAACCGATCAAATATTGTTTGACTTTCACTTCCCAACTCAAATACGGCGCTTTGATAAACACTTTTGCAACTCACGACTGTCTTTCCCTGAAAATAATCCGTATAAAACAGTACTTTATAAAGTTATCCCTCTTGTAAGTATTTCTAAATAAAAAGGCAACGTTAATAATAGTTAATTTGGAATATGTAGATAAATATGAATTATTACGTACTGAAAAACTCAGATAAAATATTGTCAGTGATAGTAGATTTTTTTGCTTATAAAACACGGTATGTTCATATTTTTTAAAAAATGATAATGAAATTTGAAGTAAAATGTAATTTCACTACTTTGAAGGTACACGAGGATAAAATCGTAATTTACGTTATGGTACCAAAAGGTTTTTATCTGGTCCCGGTGTTTTTGAAAAAACAATGAATGCAGGGCCGCTGGATTCGAACATGGGACCTTTACCTTACAGTGATGAGCCCCGTGTCAACGCCTAAACTTTTGCTGTCACCGACACCCCTTTTTCCGATTATTATCAATTCAACAAACTTAAGCTTTCTTAATGTACCAAATGTATGTGTGTTGCAATAAATAACTATTTATTGTAGAGTTTTGATTATTAATTGATAAGGTGACTAATTGACAATAGATAATTCGATCAAAATTGTTTATTGGGCCCATTTGGCTTACGTGAATAAATATTTGATTTCTTTTTGAATAAAAACCAATGAATTGCATTAAAAACTGTTATTTTTATGTCGAAAAGGATTAAACAATTTGACATTCATCCCGCAATATTATTTAATGGCAAAATGTGTCACAATGTCTCAGCAACGGTGAAACTTTTCTCAAATGACGCAATTAGCATATTTTAAAAGATAAATTTTTAAGGTAAAATTTTTCGACGTAGTAATTAATTCCATTATAATTAGAAGTAGTTATTTGACAACACATGCAGGAATGAATGAATTTATTTGCCCTATAACATCGTAGAGAAAAACGTTCGGCTTACATAAAATAGGTAGGTGTTTGAAGATTTCTTTTTGGAACGAATAACAAATTTGTGGGGGAAAATGTACAAAAGAAGTACTTTTTTAAATTATTTTATTACATATATACATATAATACGACGTATTAAGTAAGTATGTCGGTTCGAATGCAGGGCCGCTGGATTCGAACCCGGGACCTTTACCTTATAGTGATGAGCGCCGTGTCAACGCCTAAACCATTGCAGCCACCGACGTCCCCCGTTCACATTATTAAAGTCATTTCTTTCAGACATATTTAATCGGTGTATCATATATGAACTATACATTAAAAGGGTTCATAGATTTCATTACACAAAAAAGGATTTGCGAATATTTATAAATTTTGATTTATAAGTTTTAATAAATGGGATAGTACACCCTAAATTGATTTCAACGAATAATAATGCAATAAGTTTTAAAATAAACTAAGCGATGGCGGTACCGTAAAAGACTTAATCCTCCATAGTTATGTTGACAAAGTTGAGTTCAGTTCAAACTTGAGATGGATGGCTTCATTAGAGCATTTTCAATTAAATTCCGAAACTTTCACAGCTACGCCATACTTTTTTAAATTTCCAAGGAGGAACATAAATTGCAAATGCAACAGTGTTGGAAGTTAAAAAATCATGGATAATTTAAAATAAATACAGCTGATTACAACAAATTAAAAATTTAAACAAAACAAACTTACATATTTCGTATAGTACTATATATTTACAAGATTATTTTGCTCATAGTTTCGACATCTTTGAAAGTAAATATAAATTGAGTTCACGTTTGTGTAATCATTTAAAACAATAATTAGCTGCTTGACGTAAACTGCTTCATTAAACGCAATGAAGTCGTTATGGAAAGAAATCGATTAAGAGTTAGAATAAAAATTTACTTTGGGAATATTACAACCTACAATAATACAAATAAGTTCTGATTTTTTTGCAAGGGGTTGGATTTTACTGTAACAACGTTAATACTACAGATGATTCGACCGTACATCTGTTTTATAAGATTGTCATTTTATAAAATACATTTATCGAGGTATATAATGTATCAAAGAGGATTTTAGGAAGGATCTAAAATATTAAAGGAAAACTCATCTTACCAGTAATAAAATATAATCAATATGAATTACGTTGGACGGTTGACATATTAAAATATCACGTTTTTCAGAGAACGTACCTATAAAAAGAACCAGGAAAGGATTTAAAACGGCTGTTTTTAAATAGATAAAATGTAACGCGTTGCCAATATTCAATAATTATAATACCTTTTAATATCAACGCATACAACACTCAAATAATTTATAAACATGATTTTTTTTTTAATTATTTGTTTTATAACAGAGAGTATCGACGACAGGGTCATTTCAGCCCCAAGCACAGGCTATCTTTCAACCTAATCTCACTTGCACACTTTGTAAAATATTTTCTTTCTTATTGCATACCATTCACTCAAGTAGGGTGACGAAGCACTCCATATTCCACCATCGATCTTCTTGTAATACACACGCTTATAAATACATTCACACTTAAACGTTATTCCTGTATCATCCTATATCCATCATATAACTAATTGTTGGTGGATAGGTTACTCAATTTTTCACCACTGGCCCCCTTGTACTACTCATTCACGCTTACAACTATATTCTCCTGAAATTCTCGTCCCTCCACTCATACAACTTTATTCTCCTGAAATTCTCGTCTCTCCACTCATACAACTTTATTCTCCTGAAATTCTCGTCTCTCCACTCATACAACTATATTCTTGTATATTATCGTTAACAAAATCCATCTATGGACTCCTTTGGCCACGCCTTGTACAATATTTTACATACCGTGCGAGTTTTTATAAAATACTTTTCTATTATATAACTTTTATTTTACATTGTCTGTTTGATTATAACAATTAAGTATGGTTCCAAAGGTAAATTTTGGCGTAAATCTGCACTTTGAAGCCGTTTCCATTCTAAAACAAAATGATACCTGAAACTCAAAACTGCACATAATCGTTCTGAAAATATTGAAATTTTCTTTTAGAACTGGTAATTTCAATTTATCGTGTAATTGATAGTTTTTTAAAGTTAGGTTTAAAAATCAACACAAATTAAATTTTCATATTTTATTCGATTAATTTTTCAAATTTCTTTTGACCCAATAAATTGAAAATATTGAATTCTGAAGTAAAATTTCAATATCTACAGAAATAATTGTCGATTTTTATTTCTGTATTTTTTTTTTTTTTAAAGGAAAGAACTTTTAAAATAGGGCATTCATTTTTGTTCTTCACTAGGTCGGCATAACGCGCTAACCTATTAAATTCCTAATAGCACCAAAAGATTCTAAATGAAAAATTATCTTTGGAACCATACTTAGTTTTAAAATATAAGAGGCAGTTTAAAAATAAAAGGCCATGTCTTTTATAAAAACTCATACGGTATGCATATAACTTAAGTTTATACACTTGGTGATTCCTTAAAAAAATTAAAAAGTTTGTTTAAACAATAAGTTTATCCTAGTAAATGATATTCTCTTCCTGGTAACTAGGCTAGGAATGAATTCTTTCTGATTAATAATATAACAATTAAGTTGCCCTGCAGGTGGAGAGTGGTGATTCCAATTAGAAAGAACACATGTATCAAGAATTGCAATCTGATAGTTTCCTATAATTTATATGCATAAGCTGACCTTAAGTCGGCTGTCAATCAGCAACAATGAATTATTGGAAAAGAAAAATACCGGTCAATGATTTATTATTTTTATTTATCCACACGCAAAGCCTTGATTGACGAGTGATAATAAATCAAAGAAATGTGTGGTGTTTAGTGACCGTTAGTCATTGATTATTCGGAGATCGTGAGATGCGGTCTGGTGTGACCTAGGTTTTAGAAAAACATTTTCTTTATCTTGCCAACGTATCGATCTTTATTAAGATCGTCTTCAGGGCCTGGGATTTATAATCATTGTTTAAATTTTACAAATACATGTATGATGTGAAAAAATGAATTTATACAATGCTAGAAAATTTTAGATTCAATCAAAGTATTTGCATTCATTCAAAGTGTTTGTTTTCCGTGTAGATGTGTCATTCTTGTCCCGACAGACAAGAATCACGACAGACAAGAATGACACGTCTACACGGAAAACAAACACTTTGAGTAAGTACAAATACTTTGATTGAATCTACAATTTTCTAGAAGCGCATAAATTCATTTTTTTTATCTAAAGTTTTCTAGCATTGTATAAATTCATATTTCTTTTTTCTTTTTTTTATACCGAATCTAAAATGTATACTATTGTATAAATTCATTTTTTCACATCGTACATGTATTTGTAAAATTTAAACAATGTTTATAAGTTCCAGGCCCTGAAGATGATCTCAATAAAGTTCGAAACGTTGGGATCATAGAGGAAATGTTTTTCTAAAACCTACGTCACACCAGACCGCATCTCACGATCTCCGAATAATAAATCAAAAAGTTATGATTAATAGCTGTTATTTTATTTGCCAAAATGTTATGTTTTAAAACAATAGATTTAAATGTTCATTCATATATTTGCCAAAAGATTTAATCGTATTTTTATAAGAATTTTGCACTTCTCAAACATTGAGTAATCTATATTCTGCGTAATTAAGTAATTTTTTTCGTTGTTTTAGATCTGCTACTCAGAAAAAAAATTGTATCCTAAAACGAACTTATGGTAATATTATTAATGCCTTGTATCTTACCTTGAAAATTTACATTTATTTAATCATTTCAAAGTTTAACATAAATAACACTGGCTACGGTCATAGGTTAATATCAAAACGGCAAACAAAGATTACACACCTATAAAAATTAGTTAAAAATTAATGCCAATTAGGTCCATAACATTATGAAAATTAAACATTACTTCAGGTTTTTTGATTATATACGTTATATTTCATCGTAACATTGCAGATAACAAAAATTGAAGAGAGAATGATAGTGAGACTTACCTGCTTTTCTGAGTTTTCCTTGCTTTTGGTGGTAGGGGAGATGAGCCTTTCGCAATAACACCCTTCCAGCATGACGACGCCCAATGGACGGTGGGAGTTTTTTGTATCGTAGTAAAACAAGAGATTCTGCAAAGCCAAAAAAAATCGTCTTTTAACATCTTGTTTAAATTTTAATTATGAAATTAAAAATATAAAAAAAAAATGAAATTTAAAATTAACATTTTAAAAATTAGGTTTCAAAGTGTCACAAAATAACAAGTGTATCGTATTACGTGTTGTAATTAGCTTTAATAAAACGTGCCCTTTATTTTGATATAATTTAAATAACTCCATGTCTTCACGTCACATTTCTGTGCTATCATAAAATCATTTTTTTTCATATTGTCGACAGGTCATCAACGTTTTTCTGACGTAGTGTGTCAATGAAAAGGAAGGCGAATCAAACTTTGTCAATAATTCAAGTCAATTCGGCAAAGGATATGACGAATAAAAATCAGAAGGGAAAAAACTTCAAAGAGATAAATATGAATTCGACAAGAAGATCTCTAACATTTCAAATGACTTCATTTCCCTGGACACCATTTCGTTATTAGGGAGAAGGAAGATAAAAGTGTTTCTGGCCGTTTTTTTAACACTGAGCACGTAATAAACTCTTCCAATGAATTATTATTAAATTGCTATCATCATCTTGCATTAAAAATTCTTACAATACACCTTTCATCAGTAGTGCTTAAAAATACTTTAAAAATGTAAAAGCTTATGCGTTGTACATTTTCCTTTTATTGGATATCATTCATTTATACACGTAGTAAATTGATTAAAAGTACTGGGTTGGCCAAATCATAATTTTATATTTTTTATTAGGGTAATAAAGGTTAAAGCTATGTATCTGCCTTTAATTTATTTTATGAATATACAATAATAACTATAAATTAAAAATTAAATTTAATGTGTAGGCTTTTTTTATCATAAAGTTTGACTTTTTGTACGAAGAAGATCATTTTATTTGACAAGACAATTTCAAAGGTGATCCAACCATTTTATAGATTTATATTTTTTAGCAAAAAACAAATCAAAAAGCATCCAAGGAAATAAGAATATTCTCTCGTAATCAAAGTAAGTGCAGTTTCAAATTGCTACATACTTTGCTATGTTAGACCTCTCGATAATGCTACCTTCCTCAAGTGGCAATTAACAGACCCTATTTCCGCCTGTGATTTGCTTTCAAAGCGCCGATATATCGATCGTCATATTGGTTACATGGAACGAGAATTTGTTTGACATATTACATAGGTTAATCGTGTTGAAACCAGAACGTCGATTAACCATTTCTCAAAACGGAGTGGCACGAATGCCATCCAAGTAAGCATCGGGCTGCCATCATTTACAGTCAACGAATCAATCATTTTCTGATAATGACAGACTAAAACGATGTTATCAAAGTAAACCTGTATGACTTAGCGATTTTGTAATGGTACAACAAAAAATCGAATTCTTCTTGGCAACGAAGCGGCCCATAGATGGTCAATATTATTGTACAATATAGATTGCACAATAATTTGACGGTTGCCCCTTAACATTCAATAATATTGTACAAAATTTTGTTTGAAGGCGATATTGAAGTTTGTGCAATATTTTGTGCAACCTCGAGCATGCGAACTGTACCACTTATTGTTACTTCACAAACTGGCTGATATTGCGCAATAATGCCAACAGACGGTGCAATATTTTCAACTTTTCGTATTGCACAAACTTTCAATATCGTCTACACACGATCAATTAAATTGCACAACCCAAAATATTGTACAATAATATTGATCGTCTATAGGTCGCTTAAAGCTTCACGTAAGCCGATGGGCGATAAATGATTTACTTGAGCTTAAGCATACTACATTGCTCCGCTTTGTTTGCCGCAAGTAGCTCGTGTGATAACCACATGATTCAGTCAATGAAAAGTATGTAAACGAAAGTGTCTTTGCGTTAAGGAATTCCATTATTGAAGGAAGAATAGTTCTAAATAGAAACTCTTTAAGGTTGAAATAAATTGAGTGTAGTACAAGCTGAAAAGCAAGACGTAAAATTCACTTATTTGAGAACATCCTGAAAACCAGAATAACAGGAGCAAATTGCACAACACATTCCTTAAGAATTTGTGTCACTTAGATTTACGACTTAAGGGACGGCATATTAAAATCGTGTAACTCCGATTTGTCTCAATAGAAATTCCACTCCAGACGATAATAGAACCTTAGAACCTTTATCCGACAATGTTGCATTGGCTGTATTATTAGTGCTATTAATTAGTATCATTTAGTGTTTAGCTGCTCGATAAACTGGAAGACATCTATCGGGAGAATGGAGAGAAAACTTCCTTCGTTACAGTTTCTGTACAACGTCCTTGTCACAAGCGGTCCCGACAATGATCTCTGATAAGCGCTGGACCCGTTGCTGGACTTCTGGGATGTAAAATCATTTCTTCATGTCTACTTCCTCCTATTTCTTGTTTCCTTCTGACGGACACAACTAGCCCAGTTCGAAATCTTTGAGTCGTTTTAGAAGAGAGCAAAAGCGATTCCCCTGAGTGCCAAATCTGATAAATCGATCGTCAGCAGGTCCCCTGGCTCTTGGGCGTGCCAATCCTGGTCTCCGAGTACACCTGGTACCGCAGAATGCCGATAATCGTAGTTTTAGGCACATCTAAAACTCTTGCACCGTAACGCTGATTTCTTCCATCCTTAAAAAGCGCAATGGGACGTGCAATTTACTCGCTGATTATGGGCATTTTCGTAATCGTTGCGTTTTGTGCCACGTGCACAATAGTGAATAATGGCATTGTTAAAGGATTGTGTTGTTGATGATTTACAATTTGGAGGTTTTAAATCAAATTAGAAATAAAGCAGTTTTGCCTCACAATCGGCGACAAAAACAAATACTTTCCATCTAACTATAATTATTAAATCATTTTTGAAGTATCGGGTTGTCCGGAAAATAATGCAGGATTTTAAGTTTTCATTAAAAAAAATCTATATAAAATATTCTGTTTACGTTTACAGGATTACTCATTTGTATGAATGTCAANGGGAAATTATTTTGATTAAAGAACATTGCTTTAAAGTAACTAGTTTCTTTTTTTTTGTTTAATACCAAAATCCTGCATTATTTTCCGGACAACCCAATAGTAAAACAAAAATTATGTCCAAAACATCGTCAAGTTACAAATATCCAAATGTCAAAGTGTGACATTTTTTGTAGATCAATGTATATACGATTTCTTTTTATAATCATTTTACTTCACTTATTAAGAAAGATTTTTCAGTTATGAAGCTCTGTCGTAAATAATATTATATACACAGCCGAAGGTCGTGGGTTCGAATCCCGCTCGTGACACTAGCTTTTTCAATGCTTTTTAAAAAAAGATAGTTCCTACTCACAGTAAGTTGTTTTCCATCCTAATTTTACTAACCTTTTAAACAATAAGGTTTTAGAATAGCTTTTAGAAGTACGGGTTCACTTAAAAACATCCACTCAAAAATTAAAGACAAGGTAGACAACTTGGCAAAAAGCGGGGTTTACCAACTTAATTGTAATGATTGTGATATTAAATATAAAGGACAAAGCGTTAGAGAAATAAAAACGAGAGTAAAACAACACTTGCCTAAATCGAACAAATTTTTGGAATTTAAGGACCATCTAAAAAAAACCAAAAAAAACATAATTTCAATTCAAATTTAAGTACAACAGTGTTACATAGTTTCAACAAAGGGAGAGATCTAGATTGGTTTGAGAAATTTGAAATTAAAAAAATGTAAAATTGAACATGGAGACAAATGCATTAATAATATAATAGATTTTTATCTACCTCCCATTTTAAATATTTACATAAATAATATTAAACGTCCAAATAATTAAATTAATTATTTTAATTGTTATTATTTTTATAACAATTTAATAATATTAAGGTATTATTATAATTTTTTATCTTTTAACTTTAATCACTAATTTATAATTAATTTCTTACAGTATTTACCATTATAATATTTACTTGTGTTATAATTCCAGCTTTTCGCACGTTCAAATTGAGCGCCATTAAAAAACCAGCTTCTCATTGCATTCTTTGCAATGTGGATAGACGTGGTTGTAGAAATCCTTCAAACTGATGATGAGATAAGGGCTCGAAATCCGAATGGTTGGAAAACAACTGTGAGTACTGTGAGTAGGAACTATCTTTTTAAAAAAAAAGCATTGATCACCGCACTCATTCCATCTTTCATCATATCTACTAGCTTTTTCATTTCAACCAATACCTTACAATAATATTAATTAATTGAAAGAAGTTATTGGTCAATCGGGCCACGAAATATAATAGATTATATACCCAGCTGAAAAAATTGTATCATAAGTATAAACTAAATTAATCTGTATGTTAATATGTTGTTGTTTAATAACATACAAAATACTAATTTTGAAGCTATTTTTTACTAGATATTTAAAATTAATATGACCATTTACTTAGCAAAGGGTATTATTTCTAACGACTATCAATTACCTTTTTGTAAACTATTTTGCTTTATTTAAACCTAAATAATTTGTCAATTGTGATATCCTTAGATTATATTAAAAACTTATAAAATATTATTTACATTTGTAAGCTAAGCGCAAATTCAGTATTATATATTTATATGCAATGTACCTACAAAATATTATAATCGTTATGTAAAAAGCACAGCAATTATGAAGATACCATTCCACCATATAAAAATCAATTAGTTTATGATCCTGTTGAAATATATTTTAAAAACAATGAAAGCATGATATAACAGAAGCTAATCATTTTTTGAAAATGTTAACATTAAAGGCTCTACGAATGTTTACTCAATGCATTCAATTTATTAATTTAATTTCAACAGGAAATAATTTAAATGATGCCGGTCTCTTTCAAAACCTCGTTTAAGTGTAAAAAGGGCATTAATGAATAGCTTGCAACGGTTTATAGTGCCACAATTCGTACATATACAGCTCGTTCCTTGAAACATTATGTAAACGTTAACATTTTAATTATAAAGCAAAACAAATTCAGTGTTGGTCTCATTTGTCAGTTCGTTAAAAGCGATCAACTCAGCATTAAA